GGCTGTCACGGTTTAGGGTTTTAGGGTTTGTGGTTTATGGTTGAGCCTCGATCGATGTTGGGTTACGAATGTGCCCGTACCATACGAAAACCAATACTAGCACTGGCACGAATGCCTTAGGCCACCGCTCTCGTACTACTCATAGTCATGCTCATACTCAAATCCATGCTCATACACATACTCACACTCATTGTAGTACATTGTGATAGCATGCTATAGCAAAGCTGAGAATAGTACTAAGAAAATGGCTGCATTCGGACCCGTCCATGTACGAAAAAAACCAAAATACCAAGGCCACGTAGTTTAAGGTATATTCTTTAGCTAGGGGGGTATTGGGCTCCCCCAGGTAACCCAGGTCCGCTGTTGGCGCAAGGAAAGGATCTTGCTCTAGACTCAGCCTTCACACGGTTCTTTGGAATTTGAGGCTGCGTGAAATATAGTGACTACTACTAGACGATTGCTGCTACCACCACCACCACCACGACGAAGACTACTACTGTTACGACGACGACTACTAATTACCCCTTGTGCTTCTACTTCCGCTCTTACTATTGCTAGTGCTGCTAGTGCTGCTAGTGCTGCTAGTACTGCTAGTGCTACTAGCGCTACTAGTGCTACTAGTGCTACTAGTGCTACTAGTGCTACGTGTACTAGCAGGGCAGCAGAACACGACGGCCGCTGCTACTGCGACTGCTGCTGCTATTACCCTAAAAACTGCGTAAGTAGGGGGACGTGAGGCCGCAATGCGTGGTGCGATATCGCCAGGCACAGGGCCTGCTCAAGAACCCGTCGCACGTCCGCTGCGTGCAAGCTCAAAGCTACCCTAAGAACCTCAAAGACCCTGAGCCCCGAAAACCCCTGAAGCCGTAAACCCTTACGTAAGGGTGGCTTAAATTAAAGCAGTCCCTACTGTATATAGGTACTTCAGAGCCAAAGGGTATACTATTTGGGCACCTGGACCTTTAGGGTCAGGCCTGACAAACCCTATCGCGACGAGCAGCTATCTGCCGAATCTGGCGGTTCTTTTCGGGAGGAAGGACGCACCAATGAGGTCGACTTGAGCGGTGATCCTGAGGCGGCTTCCTTCGGGTGTTGGGGTTTGGGGTGTCAGGCGGCTTCATTGCTGGTTTCGGAGTTTTCGGATGCGGGGAATGGTACTTAGGGGTTTTGCATTGAGCCCCTGACGCAAGGAATTTGCAGAATTCGAAGTTTGGGAGTCGGAGTTGTGAATGCAGGTTGCTGCAAGCTAGTGCCATGGGTGCAAGTTATTAACAAGATCAATCTCCTGGAGGAGCGGAATGAGAAGGTTTTCTCGCTTTGTTTAACCATGGCCATCAGCATCATCATCGAAGGGAAGGTGCAGCATGCCCCAATATCATTCCCATCAGCATGATCATCCTCCAACATCCTTCTGTCCGAAGCCCAAACAGTGTAACTTCTCCAGTACTTCGCCGGGAGAGAGCTCTCTATATGCTGTCAAGCTTATTATTTTTTGTGGGTCTCATCTTAAGAACCCTGAACTGAACGTTGCACGCCCTAAATCCCTAAACCCCCAGGTACCTACTATATATAGGGTACTAGAGCCCCTAGGGTCCTATATAGTAGGTACCTGGGGGGTTAGGGAATCTTAACATCTCAATCCCAAGTTCTATACCCCAAATCCTATGTAACCCTAGACTTCAAGACCCAGAAGTCGGTCTCTCTGCGGTCGAGGTGGAGCCTCGCGCCTTCAGCGCGTTGCTCATGTACCTCATGTCCGACTGCTTCTCTTCCAAGGTACAGCGTTTTAGGGTTTAGGGCACAGGGTTTATAGGGTTTAGGGTCTACAGGGTATATGGGGTGTAGGGTCTGAGGTATATAGGGTCGAGGGTAGAGGGTGTATCGGGGTTAGTGGACATGGTTTAGGGTGTAGGGTATACACGGGTTGTAGGGTTTATGGTATAGGGCCAGTACAGGGCTTGGGGTTTCGCTACTCCTCTTCCAGGCGCTGCGTCAGAGTGGGCCTCTAACACCCTTTAGGGCTATGGGTTTGGGTTTAGCTTAGGGTTTAGGATTAGGGTTTGAGAGATGTGCTCGCATTTTCATCGTCACCACCTCTACACGACTCTATATTCAGTATTTCAGTATCATAGCCATCACCATCATCAGCATCATCGTCACTAGCATCGTGTACGGCTTAGCGCCGCTAGCAGAAAGCCACATACGCAGCAACACGATCATCGATGCCCTAACGTAGCAACATGGTCATCCCTAAACCCTAAACCATCAACAACGACAACAGCAGCAGCAACGACAACAGCAGCACGGCAGCCGAAGCTTCGTCTTCGGTGGTGCAGGGAGACATCAACTTCGCGTTTGCCGTGCGTCGCCTGGCAGACCGCTATGGTCTAATGCAGCTGGTGGACAAGGTCGAAGAGGAGTTGGAGGGACGCTCGGTCTTCCGGATTACAGAGTAGGTCCTTACCACAAGAGGGTTCAAAGATTCCGGATGAAGGGTTTTTGGATGTGTGGCTTGGTGCTTCGTAGCCTGCAGCTTTCAGGCCCAAGGTTCCAAAGTTGACTAGGGAAGAACATGAGCATGTACAGGGCGGCTCTAAGTCGAACGTTGTCCAAAGCATGATGTCTATTGGCCACAGGCTTGAGCTCGGGGGTGTTACAGTCATAGGACCTCAGGTATTGGCCAGTACTCCGAGAGCTATGTGCAAAAAGCATTTTTTGGCCTGATGCATACAGCATTGTACCTACTACATAGCAGTACATGACCTCTATAGTCAATGCTGACTAGTGGCCTCTACGAGATACCGCTAACAATCTGTTTAGTGCTTGAGACTTGCCCAACCTGTTGCAGCACTTAGCGGATCTGCGTAAGCCGTAAGCATGCAAGTTGCCCGATCTTTGGGAACTACGTGCGACAATGCTCCAAAGGGAAAACCCACACCCTTACCCAAAGTAGGTGTAACCACAGTCCATAAACGATACCTCGAACCCCAAACCAGACCCGTGATCTAAACCTCAGAGCCTCGAATCTCAGCCATGAATCCTCAAACCTACAGGCCAAACTTCACGACATCCAGGTTCTTGGGGCCGAAATCGCAACAAAGGGCATGACAGGGATTCACAGGCTGTGTGCAGCACCTTGAAGTCTTGTTGTGATTGACCTTGAGGTTGTCTTTAAAGCCAATACCACATATGGCCGCACCATGATACTTGTAAGGACTGCTGCGTGCTGACAACGTTCTGAGCTTCTTCGGGAAGGCGGGTGCATTCGGGATGGATGTGGGATCCAGGCCATCATAGCTAGACCAGGGCTTCGGGATGTATTATACTACACCTGAACTATAAGAAGGAAACCTAAGCTTGTTACTGCCATAATTATTCAGACGCCTACTGTAGAATTGCTTGAGGTTTAAGGTTTGGGGTTTTGGGTTTAGGGATGTTTTAGGGTTTAGGGTTTAGGGAGCGGTTGTGCGCTATGAGGCCGGCTGAAATCAGCTACGAGGAACTTTCCCCCTGGACTCCCAAACTTTACTTTACAGTCCAGTCGTAGAGTACGTATCCTTTTGCTGTGGACTCGGTTCATGACCCGATGTGCTCTAACCTTTCTAAATTTACGATAACCCTTAGCATCTAGACAGTGTAAGCCCTAATCAAAGAAGTGCCCTCAAAAAAGCAGCATACCTGCACGAATAGTGTTGAACAGAAAAGGACTGAATCCGTAGCTTCATGCCTTGCACCACAGCTTTTATGCCTTGTACAATATCAGATTTATCCACACCAAGCTGGGAGTTTCAATCCGTTAGTCCTGAACTTCTGAGCACGCTGTGGGATGGCTTACGGTAATCGTTGAAACCACGAAATCCCGAAATCCGAAACCGCGTCCCTAAACCCTAAGCTAAGCCGTTGAGAAGGAACATCCCAATGACAGAATGTAGGGGCCGAAATATTTACTAATACTATTTTGGGGGCGTCCTTATTACAAGTATTATACTGGTAGTATATTGGGCCCCAACGCCCTATTCTAATAATTACAGCCCCCGAAACCCTAAATCCCCAAACCCTAAACCCTAAAGCCATAAGGTGGTGGGCAGTGGTGGCCGCCTTGAGTCGGCTTGCCTCGAGTGCCCGTGTCTGCCTTCATGGGGACAAGTTGGCAAAGTAACATCCTCCAAACCCCAGGCTTCCTTTTAGGTTTAGGGTTTAGGGCATTTGTTTAGATTACCGTAACCCCCCCAAACCCCAGGTTTCCTTTTAGGTTTAGGGTTTAGGGTTTAGGGCTTTTGTTTAGATTACCCCGTGAGGTTCGGACGGCAGGGTTGGGATTTTAGTCGCTTGAGGGGAGAACCCGAAGACCTGAATTCAAAACCCTAAACCCCGAAGCTCTGCACCCCAAACCGGACACCCAAAGCCCTGAGCCATCAAATCCAAGGACATGGACCCTAGGCTCTAGAGTTCAGGGCACCAGATGTCATTTCGTTTCAGCAAGCTTCGCATTTCGAGCAGAGGAGCTTTGTCCATGAGTTTGAGGCTTTCGCTTTTTGTCCAGCTTCTGCTTCTGAGCTTTGGATGGAACGGATGCAAGAATTATGTAGGGTTTAGGGTGTAGGATGCAAGAATTAGGGTTTAGGGTGTAGCGTCCAGGACTAGGACTCCAGAGACTGCTCCTTTGAACATCATCAACATCGGCATGTGCGTCCCTACCATCAGTCGTCGTCGTAGCAGCACAAACAGCATGAGCATCACAGGTACTAGCAGATACAGTAGTAGTGGAAGATGCACACTTGGAAATGAAGGTAGAGCCGGTAGTGGCAGCTTCGCCTGTGGCGGTGGTGAGGGGGGAGGAAGCATTCGATAGTCCTAAGAGTCAGAAGATACATTTTAGGAGTAGCAACAGCAACATGACTGCCCACACAGCCCTCGATGCTACCCTTGATATTTCAACAGGGCTCAGGGTTTGGGGTGTTCACGGGTCTGTGTCCCAGCTTCTTCCGTGCTTGGAGGAGTATTTGTCAGCCAACGCTGCTGAAACCTGGGTGCCATTCTGAGCCCTTAATTTTGGATTCGTAGACACATACTCTACTAAACCCTAAGGCCCTAAGACATAAGCTGTCGTCAACCACAGAAGTCCTGAGGCTTGTCAAAGCCAACGGATGCCTCGTCCTGGAGACCAACCGATCTTTGCTGGCAAGTTCGGGGCACCAGATTGTACCATGCAGAACTCTAGGATGCACGAAGATGTGATGCTCAAAGCTAAACCCTCAAACCTAAAGCCCTAACTCTGAAGCTCAGAATCAAAAGCTAAAACGTAGGCTCGAAGGGCCTACAGGCTAGAATAGTGCAATTACAAATTCCAAATTAGGATAGCGCGAAAGTGAGAGCTCATGCGGCATTCGCGAATGTGGGGCTACGACGGCTTTACTATCGGGTTTAGATCTGCAAGGGAATTCAGGGTTCAGCAGGTAGCCAGGGTTGGTTGAAAAAAGAGGCCAAATCAAAGCTTTAAGCCCTAAACCCCTAAACCCCTAAACCCTGAAACCCTAAACCCCTAAACCCTAAACCCTAAACCCAAACTCCATGCCCAAAGCTCCCGATGCAAATCCCAGGCCTTGGGATGGAACTTGTCTTGCAAGGCGTAGAGCGTACCTTAGACTACCATGGCCTACTTTTATTGGTAGGTTCTCACCATGAACCCTAATGTGGAAGGTCCAGGGGCCTTACAAAAAGTGGAGTTTAGCCGAAACCCCAAACCCGAAGCGCTAAGCCCTAAACCCTAAAAGCCCTAAACCGGCTAGGTCAGCAGTCAAAGCAGCGGCTGTTGGACCCCGCACCTCAGCATCTAAACCCTCTGAGCCTGAGCCTCTACAGCCCTAAAGCCCTACAAACCCAAACCTCTACAACCCAATTTTTTCCCCGAACCCCAAAAAAGCTCCAACTATCCTAAACCCTACTAAGCCCTATACACCCTGAACCCCACAAGGCTCCGACTACCCTAAGGCCAAAGAGCCCTAGAAGCCAGGCCCATGATCCTTCACTGCCGAGGTCAGCCGTAAACCTCTGAACCCCTCAAGCAGGGTTTAGGGTTTAGGGTTTAGGATTTACGGTTTAGGGTTTAGGGTTTAGGGAGAACCCTATAAGCCCTATGAGCCTTAGAGCTGTAAGCTCCCTAAACACTAGAAGGGGTTTAGGGTTTCGGGTTTAGGGACCCCGAACCTCTAAAGTCGTGATCTTGGGCTACCGAGGAGACAAGCTGGACCAGATCGTGGATGAAAACTCGGTGCCGGGACGACTTTTAAGGTTTAGGGTTTAGGCCATTAGAGGGCTCTCGGGTTTAGGGTTAGGCTTGAAAGCTAGTTGGGCTAATCAGGGTTCTCCTAGGGGGTTTGAGGGTTAGGGTTCAGGCTTCAGGGTTTAGGGTTTAGTCTAGGACATTTTCAGGTGGGTAGTTACCGTTATAGAAGCCTTATGGAAGCCCTATAAACCCTAAACTCGCCACCTGTAGTTCCTGTAATTAGAGTTTAGGTGTCAGGGTGCTGGGTGGGAAACTAGTGCTCCAATTGTCCGATGTAGGCGGGTTGGTTCCGAGAGTCCCGAACATACTTGCTATGAAACCCTAGAAACAATTATTAAAAAAACCCTTTAGAAACCATGGACAAATCCTTATTAGAAACCCTATAACATCTGAGACTCATAAAGACCCTAGACAAGTTTACATCACCTGAGAACCCGAAGATGGCAAAAAGAGCCAAGGATCTAACCAAGGCGCTCTTGCAGCTGCTAGTAGACAGTCGGAACCGCTCCTCTGCCTAAATGTGGCATTCAGAGGTTTGGGGCTTTAGGGGTCTGTAGGGCTTAGTGGAGTAGTTTTTTAGGGGTTTAGGGTTTAGGGCTCAGGAAGTTGAAAAGGGCTTTGTAAAAGGTTCCTGAAAGGGTCCTAGGACGCCTCCTAGTGAGGATTCAAGGGCTCTCCCTTCCTAGAAAGTTTCTTTCAGCGTTGAAGAGGCTTCCTTCGGGTTCCCTTAAGGCGGGTTGCTGCAAGGGCTCCAGCCCCTGAAGCGTAAACGGTTTAGGTCGGCTGTTTACCCGAAAAGGCAGTACAGAGTTTGGATTTACGGTTTAGGATTTAGGGTTTGTAGTTTAGGGTTGAGGCTGTACATAGCCCTTGGTATCGCTAAGCCCTTGCTTTCGGAGTCTTAGCGCTGTAGGTGTAGGACTTCATTCTGTGAGGCTTCGGGTCTGCGGTGTAGAGTTTCGGGCTTGGGCCTAGACTTTAGGGTTCAGGGGTGTAGGGTTTTTGGCGTTCAGGGTTTAGGCGTTTAGGGGTTTAGGGTTTAGGGGTTTAGGGTTTAGGGGTTTAGGGTTTAGGCGGGTTTAGGGTTTAGGACCTTTTAAATGTTTAGGGGTCTAGGCTTTAGAGTTGAAGGTTTCGAGTCTAGGGTTTCGGGGATCAGCGTAGCCCAGCCACAACAAACAAACCCACGTTGTACTGAACCCTAAACCCTAAACCCTAAACCCTAAACCCTAAACTAAATAATAAACCCTAAACCCTAAACCTTCTGCAATCGAGGCCTGTTGTAGGGGAGGGCTGCTCTCAGGGGCCCTTGAGAACGCCTACAGGAGCCTTTGAATAGCCTAAAGCTCAGGGGTGCTTAGAAATACTTCTTCATCTTTGCGTTTTCATAATCCCTAAACAGCTAAAATTCTGGTTTTTGTTGCTAGGGTCCCAAGTTCAGCATAGCACGAAGAGGCTGGCTTAACTAAGCTGGCAGACTCGAGCCGCGAGCCCGATCCTTCTCTGAAACCGTACCTCTTGGCCAGCAAGGGTTTAGGCTTTAGGGTTTAGGGTTATAAATTGCCAAGACGTACGGAACTCGCGAATCTCACGCAACGAGCCCTGCAGGAATGAATCGGGATACTAAGACTCGCACGGAGCACGCTTGTCCCCAAACCCTAAACGTCCAAATCCTACACAATAAATCTCCCTAAGCCCTTCATTTCTAAACCCTAAGCCCTAAACCATAGGCTAGATTCCGTTAAAAACAAGCCCAGGAGACTGCCCACACTGCGGAGACGTCGCACTTTGAGTTCGAGTGCTGAGAGTTCCCGCAGCTGTCGGCTACCTCAGCGGCTGCTCCGGGCCCACCCAGACCGACCCTGCACTGACCGTGGCAGTAGGGAGTAGTAGTAGTAGTAGTAGTAGTAGCAGCAGTAGTAGTAGTAGTAGTAGTAGTAGAAGCAGTAGCAGAAGTACTATGAGTACTACTAGTACTAGTAGTACTAGTAGTGCGAGTAGTACTAGTAGTAAGACTGTTATCCTTCGCACCAGTAGCAGGAGCGGTCGTAGGAGCAGGGTGTCCCGGGGAGGGCCAAGCAGGGATGCACTCCAATTAACCTGCACCCTGCGTGATCGAGGAGGTCCAGTGACGCCCAGGAAGAGGCAGCACAACGAAGGTACGGGTCGGCGCAAGATGGACGAGGAGGCTGCAGGATGCCGGATGTTTAGAGCCTGTAGTTGTCATATGCATGTGTAAAATTGTCCTAAACCCTAAACCCTAAACCATTTAGGGTTTAGGGTTTAGGGATTGTCATGTATTGTAATCGTCTTGTCGTCTAGTTGTTTATGGACTTCTGCACTTTGCGGCCATGCCAGCCAGAGTCCACCTGTCTGGCCGACCTGTTCGGCTAAACTTCCCGGAGGTGGAGGCTCAGGTCGACACGAGGAACAAGTTGGCTCGAAGAGCTCTGCGGTGTCTGGGCTATCTCATGTATGTCCTTTCTGGGACCAGGAGTGCAACAAACATCCGAAAGGTTGTTAAGCATTCCCATGTCCAGAGGTGCAATGCATGTCCGGTACCAGGCACCTGTACAGCCTGCTCCAATGTGCCGAAGCTCCCCGAGAATCCGAGAGCGAGCAGTTGACCGAAAGCAGGTCTCGCCGAAGTTTCAGAGAGTGCTTGCTCTCATCCCGATCTAGGACTTTTGAAGGGAGCTGGGCCTGAGAGGTTCCAAGCTTCCTCGAAGAACCGGGAGAATCTCCAGAGCTGGGGGCATCTGCGAGTCAGAGCCTGCCAGCTTTGAGTAGCTTGGATGCCAAGCATGTCTAAGCCTGATTATTTTGGACATC